ATGGCACTTCAGTATTCTCCTCCAACACCACAACTCAAAGGCATCAATTCTTCTACGATCTTGCTTATTCACTGTCCAGCTTTCACATCCATATAAGGTTATTGAAAATACCATGGCTTGGGTCAGGCACACCTTAGTCCTCAAGCTGACATCTCTGGTCTTCAGTACTTTAAAAAGCTCCTGTGCAGCAGATTTGCCCAATGCAATACGTCGTCTAATCTCTTGACCGCTATATGTGAGATGGGAAGAAAACAAATTCTACCAAGTTCGTTAAGATGGGTATTATATTTAAGTTTTACATTTAACTCTGTGGTGGTGGTGATGTGCCGTGGAGTCAGTTACAATTCATAGCAACCCTGTACAGGGTTTCCAAGGCTGTAAACCTTTACCGAAGCAGAAAGCCTTGTCTTTCTCCTGCAGAATGGCTGGTAGTTTCAAACTGCTGCCTTTGAGGTTAATAGCCCAACTCGTAACCAGTATCCTTAACTTTTAACTCTAGGCTCAAAAACAAAACAACAACAAAAACCTGATAAACATGACAGATTATACCATTTTACTCTTTTCATAAAGTGATTTATCAATTCTTCACAGCTGTGTCTTAAGTTAGATTGTTGTTGTTGTTAAGTGTCATCGAGTGGATGCTGACCCATAAGCAACCCTATATAGGGTTTCCAAGGAAGGACTGGTGAGCTTGAACTGCCAACTTTGTGATTCAAACCAACTTTGCAGTCCAACGTATTAACCCACAGTGTCACACTCTCCATGTCGGCGGTTCAAGCTCACCAGTCGCTCTTTGGAGACCCTATACAAGGTCGTTTATGGGTCAGAATCTACTCGACGGCACTTATCAACAACAAGAAGGATTGCTTAAGTGGCTAGATAATTGTGTGTCTTTATTTTCCTAGGTAGTTCCTATAAATGAATTATGGTTCTTGATTGCTTCTATTTTGGGCAAGTCCTAAAGTAAAAGGTGATAAACATAGTATGTAGCATTTTTCAGTACCCCTCATTTACTTGAAGTGTCTTTTCGTTGTTAAGTGTCATGGTGTCTCTTCTATCGCATAACAGCACTGTATAAGGTTTTTGAAGGACAGCTGGTGGGTTTGAACTGCCCACCTTGCAGTTAGCAGTCCACTGCTTATCCTACAGTGCCACACCAGGACTCCAAGCTGTTAAAAATACTCACAGAAATTTGAACAAATGTTTATTCTGAGCAGTTATTCCAACTTTGAGATTTAAATTAGGAGGTAATGTGTTGATGGCTATCATTTCTAGCTGGATCAGACAAATTTACATTGCTGGTGAGCTCTTTCTGGCAGGCTTGTATGGTTAATAAGAAAAGCTGTAGAATCTAAGATGTTAATTTTCCTCTTCTCAGTGGCTATTTGGAATCCTATCTTGGCCAGTCCAGTCATCATACCATTTGTAATCATAAAAAGTTCTACACAATGGGAGGGAAATGTGACTTTAAAGATGTATGATTCATTCAATTAACATTTTTACGTTCTTCTTGAAATTTTTTGTGCTAATATTGGGGTGTTGTTGTTAAGTGCCGTGGAGTCAGTTCCAACTCATAGACACACACCCTGTACAGGGTTTTCGACGTGATGGTTATGTGCCATGGAGACGGTTCTGACTCATAGCGACCCTGTACAGGGTTTCTGAGGCTATAAATCTTTATAGGAGCAGTAAGCCTCATCTTTCTCCTGCGGAACAGTTGGTAGTTTTGAACAGCTGATCTTGCAGTTCGCAGCCCAATTCGTAACCACTACACTACCAGAGCTCCTTAGGGTTTTCGAGGAGGAACCGCCAGTACTTAATCTTACAGTGCTCCACACCAGGACTAGAAACCCCCAGGACTAGAAACCCCCCTAATGAAACTGACTCCCACTGAGTTGATTTCATCTACTCTAGAGAAAGATGAGGCTTTCTGCTCCCGTAAAGATTTACAGCTTCAGAAACCCTGTGTAGGGTCACTATGAATCAGAACCGACTCCACAGTACTTAACAACAACAGCAGATCTAAGTGCGGGAACTGTCACATAAAAAGTTAGAAGAGACTATGATATATAGTATCAGTGTACACATTATCTTTAAAGTAGGAATAATGAACGCTTGGTGATTGATTTTTAATTACACAAAGCAGAAATGAATCACTACTTATTTTAAGCAAGTTATTTACATTTAAATATTAGAATTTCTATATATGCTACCTGAAAGCTGGGAACTTGGTGACACACAAGGTTAAGCATTGGGCTGCCAACTGCCAGGTTAGTGGTTTAAATCCACAAGCCACTCTGTGGGAGATAACACTATCTACTCCAGCAAAGATTTACAGTCTGGAAAATCCCATGGAACAGTTCTCCTGTGTCCTGTAGGATTGCTATGAGTAGCATCAACTCTGTGGTAGTGGGTTCTCCCCAATGTTGAGACTGCACCAGAAATCCATAAGGAAGACTCTTAGCACAGGCCTTGTAAGTGGACTGTTTACCATATAGTCCTGTCTTGCCTCAGAATCCTCTGCTACCAAATAAGGACACTGTTCTTAGAATCAACAACATAATTCCAACAAAATTATTTGAACTTCTTGAATAAAACTGCATAGCCTGGCAGAATTTTTTGTTATTATGGTTTGCTGTTAAATAATTTAAAATGAATTGCAATTATCTAAATATTGAAAAAAAATTTCAAATATTGTTTTCTTTATTACAGGTTTCTTTTCTCCATGGAAAACTCCAAAGCCAGTAAGTTGGAATTGTTATGCTTCTTTATGCCTAGTTTATGTTTAGTTATTAAGGAAATCCCATTAGTAACTGGGTGGCCTTGAAGTCCCTTCACCTCTGAGATTCCATGATGACAAAAGAACAAATGTTTGGTGCCTCTTCTCAATTCCTGATTTCCACAAATGTAGAAATAAGTCATTTTACGTTCCTCTATATATATATATATATATATATATATATATAATCTGTGGGCTAATGCACTCAAACTGCAAAGTCAGTGGTTCAAGCTTACCAGCTGCTCCTTGGAAACCCTATACAGAGTCGCTATGGGTCAGAACCGACTCTACGGCACTTCACAACAACATATATATGTATGAATAATGAAGGCTTGGTGATTGATTTTTAACTTACACAAAGCAGAATAGAATTACTACTTATTTACATTTAAATATTAGAATTTCTATATATACTACCTGAAGCTGTGAACTATGGTGACACACTAGGTTAAGCATTGGGCTGCTAACTGCAAGGTTAGTGGTTTAAATCCACAAGCCGCTCTGTGAGAGATAACACTATCTGCTCCAGTAAAGATTTACAGTCTTATGAATATAATGGCTATTTTAAAAGTATATGTGTTTGTGTGTGTGTGTGTGTGTCAGACTGCAAAGTCCTTTGAACTGCAAGGTCGGTGGTTCAAGCTCATCAGCTGCTCCTTGGAAACCCTATACAGGGTCACTATAGGTCAGAATTGACTCAACGGCACTTAACAACAACAAATATATATATGAGGAGCTCTGGTAGCGTAGTGGCTACAAATCGGGCTGCCAACTTTACGGTCATCAGTTCGAAACTACCAGCGGTTCCGCGGGAGAAAGATGAGGCTTTCAGCTCCCGTAAATATTTACAGCCTCGGAAACCCTGTACCGGGTCACTGTAAGTCAGAACCAACCATACATATATGTGTGTTGTTATTTATCTGTGCTATCAAGTTGGTTCTGACCCATAGTGAACCTGTGTAGGATTTTAAAGAGCAGTTGGTGGGTTTGAACTGCTGTTCTTATGGTTACCAGTTCACAGCTTATCCTATACCACCACACCAGGTCTCATATATATATATACATATACATATACATATACATATATATATATACACACACTTGTACTTTGTATACAATATATGCTTGGTGTATATATATATACACACTTGTACTTTGTATACAATATATGCTTGGTGGTGGTTATACCCCCTATCCTATATGCCCCTAAATCTAACAATCACTCCAATTGGTGCAACTGGGTTTTCTTTACATACTGATGCTTTCTGCCATCACCTAAACTCTTTGGGCCTAGTTCTCATTAATCATCCAGGAATTTTGATATATTTGTCTAACAACAACAGCAGTAAATATGAAGAATATTTTTGTGAGGTTTACTAGGCAAGTTGACTTAGCAGCTATAAATAATCTGTACTTGCCATTAGCAATTGCCAAGAGCTGAGACTGATTTGCTAGGCTCATATGATCAGTGGAAATTGACTTGATGGCAAAGAACACTGTGTGACTAAGTAGCTCAAGTAACAAAAATAAAGAACAAGTCCCTAGAAACTATATCTTCTGCTTCCTTTTAGTTTACTCCTACTACCAGGAGTTGAGACTTACGTGATTCCTCATTTGGCCAGTGGGAGAGGCATTCCTGGGTTCATTTCATGCATCTCTCATTTCCTTTCCTGAGGGAATAGTTAGCTGCTTGATACAATGTTCCATGTTTTCCAAATTCAATAACTATACTAGTTAATTAGCTTGACTTAAATATGCCTTGAAAATATTATTGATTGCCATATTATGTCTGAGATCTAGTTTCTCTCCTACAGAGACGAAGGTACTGGGATGAGGGACAAATGCTGTAAGAACCTCACAGTACTCGAACAAAATCCTAAAGGAGAACAGGGGTGGTTAATCTGGTCTCAGCTAGAACATCAGATGAGAAAACTGGTCCTGTTTAGGTTTAGAAAACCACTTAGTGATGGATGTAATTTTGAAAACAGGTATTTAAAAACGTTTAAAATGACATTTGGGTTATCTTGTTCTTTTCTTTTCACCACCACACTTAATCTGCAGTTTCACACATCTTCATCCACTTTAACAAGGAAACTTGCAACCTCAACATGGTGCTACAATTATGTAATCTTATTGATTTCCTTATATGTACCACATTTACACAAATTATGCCATTTGGTGTAATTACAACATTTACTGTCATTATAGTAATTTCATCTATAGTCAGTAATTCCAAAAAAAGGTTTTATAAAACTCAAGATTAATCCTGAACCCATGCATCCCTAAAAAGCTAAGACTTGGACTTCTAGGTCCCAGGCTGAATGATCATAGAAGACTGTTGATTTAATGTCCTTCACATATCTACCTAGAAACTCTCTAGGCTAAGAGGTAAAATCAAATGCAGTTTGGTCTAATAGGTTAGGGTGGAAGATATACTACCTGGATTCACATTTTCTTCTTCTCTTCAGTAGCTATGTGACCTTGAACTAGTTACTTAGGCTTTCAGTGTCTCTCAGTAAACTGGAGATAATACACTTCTCAATGGTTATTGTGAAGATTGTATGAGTTAACCCATGCAAGTTGCTTACAACAGTGCCTCTCAAGGGTTTAGACTCAAAAATAAGTACTTTCAGATCATCAAGTCGGTTCTGACTCATAGTGACCCTGTATAGGGATTTCAAGTCTTTAAATCTTTGCAGGAGTAGAAAGCCTCATCTTTCTCCCATGGAGCAGCTAGTGGGCTCAAACCACAAAACTTGTTTGCAGTCCAGTGCTTATCATATGAAGCCACCTCTCTGTATAAACCCTAATATATCACTCTATAGCTAAACTTAGATTTACAGCTTTTTCCTTTGCAGAGCATTGATATCATCCTTGCTCGGGCAAAGGAAATGTATCCTGGAGGAAATCTTATATCCTCCTCCTGGTTTTGTATCATTCCCTGAACCTCTTATGTCCTACAAATTCACATATTCAAGCATCTATGTCAAGTAGCTAACTTCCTACTAACACATAATATAACGATTGCAGAAGCTTTGGTATCATAGTGGGTTATGAGCAAGATCAGTAGGTCAAATATTCCACCTACTTCACAGGAAAAAGATGAGGTTTTCTGCTCCTGTAAAAATTTACACCAGAATATGTGACACTGTGAGTTAATGAGCTGGACTTCAATGTTGTTAGAACTGCCCAAGGTCAGTGGTTCAAGCTCACCAGCCACTTCTCAGAAGCCCTATACAGAGTTACTATGGGTCAGAACTGACTCAATAGCACTTAACAACAACAAGATAGTCAGATACAGTACCAGAAGATGAACCCCTCAGGTTAAAAGGCACTCAAAATACAACTAGGGCTTTTTATGAAGGTAGCGCCAAAGACAAAGAAGGAAGCCCCCTCCCAATGCTGAAGCCAAAGCGAAGGCGTTGAAGGCCAAGAAGGCAATGCTGAAAGGCGTCCACAGTCATACAATAAAAGAGAAAATCTGTACTTCACCCACCTTCTGGCAGCCCAAGATTCTGAGGCTCCAAAGGCAGCCCAAATACCCTCGGAAGAGCGCCCCCAGGAGAAACAAGCTTGACCACTATGCCATCATCAAGTTCCCTCTGACTACCGAGTCAGCCATGAAGAAGATAATAACACATTTGTTTTCATTGTGGATATCAAGGCCAACAAGCACCAGATCAAACAGGCTGTGAAGAAGCTCTATGACATTGACGTAGCCAAGGTCAACACCTTCATCAGGCCTGATGGAGAAAAGAAGGCATATGTTCAACTGGCTCCTGACTACGATGCTTTGGATGTTGCCAACAAAATTGGGATCATCTAAACTGAGTCCAGCTGGCTAATTCAAAATATACATTTTTTCAATACAAAAAAAAATTTACAACTAGAGGAAGATCTGTCTCCTTAACGTAGAGTTGACCACGAAGACAGCAAATGGAGTAAAGCCTTCAGGACCTTCATTTGCTGATCAGGCACAACTCAAAAGGAATTCATTTGCTGATCAGGCACAACTCAAAAGGAAGAGAAACAGGTGTAAATCTCCATTAAAAACTATAACATGGAATTTAAGAAATATGAATCTAGGAAAATTGGTAATGGTCAAAAATGAAATAGAATGCGTAAACATTGATGTCTAGGCATTAGTAAGCTGAAATGGACTTGTATTGGCTGTTTTGAATCTAACAATCACATGGTTTGTATGATGTGAATGATAAATTGAAGAGGAATAGAATCACACTCATCATTAAAAAGAACATATATCAAAATCTATATCAAAATCTATCTTGAAGTCTAACACTATCTGTGATAGAATAACACCCATACACCTACAACGAAGACCAGTTAATACCACTGTTATTTAAATTAATGCACCAACCACTAAAGCCAGTGATGATGAAGTTGAAGAATTCTACCAACTTCTTCAGTCTAAAATTGATCAAATATCCAATCACGATGTATCACATGCAATCAAGATATATTGATAATTACTGGTAATTGGAATGAAAAGGTTGGAAAATATGGCCTTGGATAGAAATAATGCGGAGATCAAATTTTGATAGGACCAATGACTTGCTCATTGCGAATACCTTTTTTAAACAACATAAAAGATGACTATATACAAGGTACCTCACCAGATGGAATGCACAGGAATCAAATTGACTCCATCTGTGGAAAGAAATGGTGGGAAAGCTCCATATCATCAGCCAAAACAAGGCCAGGGGCAGACCATCAATTGCCCATAAACAAGTTTATGCAAAAAGAGCCAAAATATGATCTGGAACACATCCCACCTGAATTCAGCGATCATCTGAAGAACAGATTTAATGAATTAGACACCAAAGACAAGAAGAGTTATGGGATAACATCAAGAACATCATACAAGAAGAAAGCAAGAGGTCATTAAGAAGACAAGGAAGAACGAAAAGACTAAAACAGATGACAGAAGAAACTCTGAAACTTGCT